AAGTTGTAAAACCAATATAATTCAACAAATATTAACTCATATTGAACATAAGAGTTTCAATATCACGGAACCAACTTTAAGTAATGGAAGAAATATAATTATATATCAAAATAAAAAAGAATGGTTATCATGATAAATAATTTGATAAAAAATTCTGAATTTGAAATCATTCATTTTTTTAAACTTTATTACCAGACATATATACTTACACAATTAAAACACATCGGATGCTACCCAGATCAATCATGTGCAGTAACCAATCTTTGAGCCAAAGAACCTAGATGAAATAATATTAGGGATAGAGATTACTTTCACTATTGTGTTGTTTTCTTCTAATTTCTCCTCATGCGTAGTATTTATAGAGAGCAATATCCTTGTTGCGAGCTTTTGTAAAACGGAAAAGTACAATACGTAAAAGTTGCTAACGTGCAGCAACACAGGATAAAGTTCAAAAAAGCCACTTAAGGAACCAGTAATACATGGTCAAATGATTTAAACTAATAATTTAATAATAAATAAAAACAAACCAAAAGGCTTGTTCAAACATCAAAGATTATAAAAAGCTGTTACAAATCTTTTAAATTAAAAACTGATTTAATCATTTAATTTAAATTTTAAATTATAAAATAATTTGCCAACATGCACTTCAAAATATGGCGATGTGCTTCCTTCTTCAGGTGCATATTCTTCCCTACTACATATGACCAACTGTATTCAAAATAGTAGCAGCAGAAGAAAACTGCACATCTTGTATCGGTGGTGATGTTGTGCTTGTTCATTGTTTTGGTTATGGTTGTTCTGGTGTAATATGACTTAATGAAAAGGATGAGTCAAACATTCGTAGCAAAGCATGATGTCGGGCATGGTAATTATGGGGACCAGCATAAGCACTAGGACTAGCACCATCCTATTGCTGCTTTTCTATGTAATTGTTTGTTTCATTGTTTCACTTGTTATATCAGTGTATGTATTGATTTGCTAAAACTCATCAATGTCATGACAATTATAATTGTTTCAATTTTTATCTATAAGAGTCATGACACGTTCTAATTTTTTTATTTAATAAATTATAGGATAACTTATTTCTAATTACAAAAACATGTAATATTATGTTATTATATTGATTTTATTCTGATTTTTATTATTATTGTCAAATACCACTATTGTCATTTACTATTATTATTATCGCAAATATAATCCACCATTTATTATCACACTTTTATTATTAACGTTATTAATTCTCGTCATTATATATCATTTCTATTAAGATAATAATAATTTATTATATAGTTAATATTAAAAAAATATTATAATAAATTTAATTTACTTATATTTATACTATTACTTATTCATTAAGTGATGTATAAAAAAAATATTTTTATAATGTAACTTAATATATATCAAATATATCCTATAAGAGAGAAGTTTTGAGATAGTATAAATGACTAAGTATATATGACACATCGGATCTCTACATAATATATTTAAGTTATTTTAAATTAAAAATTAATATCACTTAATCACATAAATTAGATAGCAACTATGTAATAGTGTAGCACGATCAATTAATAATTGCTCACCTAAAGCATATTAATTAGCTCCTATGTCCTACACGATATTCGGTTGGGTGCATCTGAACAAAATTGTGTGCACTTTGATTTCTCGTACCATACAAAACCTTATCCTATATAGTTAATTATTGTGCAATACCTATAATCTGAGGAAGCTGGTTCGTGGTGACTTATGCAACAGTTTTCCAAGGTTGACAATGATGGAAACTGAATACGCGTCAGTCGCTATATAAGCTAGGTAACCTCTATTCAGATAAGAGTTTTTTATATGTATTCTCAATGTAAAATAATTATCAACTAATAATTACTAGGATGTTTATCCGTGAGATGTAAGATCGCAGATAAAATTGATTCATATACATATTTTGTTAATATGTGTTAATTTTTACACTGTAACGTGATGAAATCAATTTTATACTTCAATTTTTTAAGATTGCATGTTGTAATAATGAAAATATCATTTTGACATCTAACCTCCTAAATTTATTAAAAAAGATGATAATTAATAATAATCTGAAGAGGAATAACATGAGAAAAGTATAAGAAAAAATAATTAAATTGGAGGCTATATGCATGTAGTGTAACATTTGCAATGAATGTCTTATCATTTTGCTTAACCAAAATTTAATGTATTTAAATTTATTAAATAGCGTTAGATATGAAATACTTAATTGCTTAAAAGATATAATAGCCAATAAATTTGAAAAAAAATGTACACCTATATGTCATTATAAAAATTAAATTATACATTTATTAGTATGATTATCAATACAACATTAAAAAGTACATATTTAAATTTTTAAAATAATTATATTTAGTTTATTTTTATAATATCTAAAATAAATGATGCATATATTTTTAAAAATAAAATTTTATAAATATTCAACATAATCATTATATTTTAAAATAAAAATATAGATTAATATATTATATTAATTATTATTTACGATCTAAATATAAAACTTAAAATATAATTGATGAAAATTTTTTAAATCATAAAATTATATTACATAAATAAATATTATTTAATATATTATTTTTCCCTTATAATATGATTAAATTTGATATTAAAAATTACAAATATTAATGTTTATATATTTACATTCAACATCCAATGAATATAATAAAGATGTTATAATAGTCTAATTTGGTCAATCAAGAATTAAGATTAAAAATATTTTGTAATTACAGTATTTTTTTTAATTTATTTTTTATATGCTCTAGAATTATAATAAAAATGTCTATTTATTATAATTTACGTTTCAAACTTTTAAATCAAATTAATATCAATATATCATTTAATGTATTTAAATCAAATTGAAAATGTGATAATAAGTATTTATGTTTTGTACATAATAATTAAATTATAAATAAAATATTTGTTAAACATAAACTATTCAAAAATTAACAAAAATGTTTATTTTTGTTTATAATTACATAATATTTACTATTTTTATAACTGATTGAAAATATCTAATTCTTTTGGTCATGTACAATTCTTATATAAATAAATAAAAAATTCTAGTACCAATGATATTCATATTGTCTAATTGTCTAGTACTTGTTATTAAAAAGTTTAATTTTTTTAATAAAATATATCAACACATTCGATTCAATATTAACAAATCATTTTTTCTACAAATTTAACTATTTTGCATTAATAAATAATTATAATGCATGCATGTTCAACACATTGAATCACAAATAATAATAAAAGTTACCTTTGTATCTTTTTGTATACAATTTCTATCAATTTTTTATTTTTCATTTGTCAATGTAATACAACACTAAAATGAAACGTCTAAAATTCAATTTCACAATAAAAGTACTATTTTTAATTTTTTTCATGTAAATTGAGTTATTAAATCTCAAAACGTGTATGTGAAAATAACGAGAAGAATGAGAATGAAAGGAGAGAATGTATCTTTTATCTTCTTGACGATTATTTCAATGTAGGATGAGAATTGAATAAAAGAGGGAGAAATTGAATATATATTAATAATGCAATTCATATAGAGTCAATATAGAGATATATTGAATTGTGAAAGTAATAAAATAGTCTTTATGGTAAACTTTTCAAAAAAGAGAGAATATAGGAAGAGAAAAATACATAAATCTTGTCTTGATCATGCACATCCTTTTATGTATTGTTAATACTACTAACACAAAAATAAAGGGAAAAACTAAAAAACACATGCCACTAGAGTAGTAGGTCAAGAAGGAGCACACAAAGCAATAGAGATTACTTATGAAAGGCTTGAGAAATCCATAAAATGTTAAATTAAAAACATTAAAAATATGTTATTGAAATTAAAAACCATTAAAATTACATGTCTTTAATTGACATCATTAAATTTATTAAAAGCCAATAATCTAGTTTTATAGTTAATAAGAAAGGTTTGAATTCTAAAAGGTAAAATAATTTTAGAAAATAAGTTGAACCGTGTAATTTTGAATAGAAAAATTATCAAGAAAACTATTCTACCTTTAATAATCAAGGGTGTTCATGCATTAGATTTTTTAAAAATCTAAATCGAATCGAATCAATCCATTTTATAAAAATGGATCAACTAATCAATCCATTTTTTTAAAGTGAATTGGTTTAATTTTTTTAAAATATGAACTGATTTTTTTTTAAATTGGATTGGTTCGATACATTACAATTATCTATTTTTTTTCTCATATATAGATTGGTTTTCTTTTTTTAAAAAAAATCGAACTGAACCAAATCGATTCACTTTGTAAAATAAATCGGATAATTGAACCATTTTTGTAAAGTAGATTGGTTCAGATTTTTTTCAAAATGGATCAAATTTTTAATTAGAATCAGATCAATTCAAATCAGTTTGAATTTTTTTTCACACCCATATCAATGATATATAAAATAGAGATAACAAATATAAAATAATTAATATAAAAATTAACAAACTTATAAAACATAATAATTTGGAATTGAATGTGAATGTTAAAAATATAAGGTTTTTATTCTAATGATAAGAGTTTTTATTTCTGTGGATTTATTTTACTAAATTAATTTTATTAAACGGTATAGAAGTATAAAACAGAGGGTTGGCTCACCTCGATGGTGGAGTGTGGGACAAGTTAGATAGTTTCTGCGTTTGAGTCATAAGTTGAAATCTTATATTATCGTCATTATACAAAAAAAAAATATAAACACCGATAACATTAACATTTTAATTGTGTTATTCTATTTAATTATTTTGTTTTGGCAAGAGTGGCATAGTATTTGTAATAGCACCCTGGTCAAGCAAATCCAATAGACATCAGAAAATATTTCTTCCCATATGCCAAAGAATATTGGAAAATTATTGGTGGACACCACACCACACCACCCCTTACTAGACACCTAGAGATAAAGAAAGACAAAAGAAATTAAAGAAATAAATGTAGGTGTAATATATAATATGATGTTATAGAAAAAGATAAATTGAAATAAATAATAGATGGTGAAGGAGTGTATGATACATAGAAGTGTCTATATATCATCACTCAAGAATATTACACTATAATATTTTTTTTAGTACAAGGGGTAGATACATATATTACAAGAAGTAAGAATTTGTTGAATATGAATGATATGAAAGAGCAAATGCTGCATGAATTGCAGCCCCAATGGGAAGCACATCTTCGTCAACGAAAAAGTAAGGACTGTGAGCAGGATGTGTGGATCCACTCTTTTCATTTCGTGTACCCACAAGAACGAATGAGCCAGGTACCTTTTCCAAGTAGAATGCAAAATCTTCACTCCCTGTGAAAAGAGGAGCTAGTTCTATGTTTTCTTCTCCAACAATCTTACTTGAGACTTGATGCGCTAGTTGGTATATTCTCGCATCATTTGTTGTTGGAGGGATTGTGGGATGTTCGTTACCAAAGAACTCAACCTCTGCAGAGCACCTATATACTTCTGCCTGCCCTTTTATAACCTGCCCAAAAGAAGGGGAAAGAAATTAAATTCACATTCAGCAATCTCATTCTATCTTTAATTTTTGCTTCATAGTGAGTTCATATATAGAGGGCAAGCCCTGGAACAATTACAAATGTAAGTAAGGTGCATTGGGTGATCCCTTTAAGATTTTTTTTATAATGTATGGAGTATTCACCAGCTTTCTTAATGACTAATTTCTGTTGAGAAATTTAACTGATAATCTTTAGTTAAGTTTCCCTTTACAATCACATTTTTTTCATTCACAACACTTGAAATTCAAGATTTTGTTTAAGAGAACCAACTCAACCAAATCCAATACTGCTCATTCCAACATGTTTGAATGTGTTTGACTTGGTGCTTGGTGTTTGGTGTGGTGCTTGATCAAAGTGGTGGTGTTGGTGGCTAGTTGTGGCACCTTTTAAGATTTAGTATGTATTTGAGTGAGCACTTGCAAAATTGATTTTTAGGTAAAATTGAATATAAAGTGATGTGATTTATATTCGAATGTTTTTATTCTAAAAGCAAGTTAGTAGATCTAGAATCAATTTTTCAACATGAAACCAAACACATAGGTGTTTATCTAAATTCATGTTAACTGGTATTTCAATGTGATTTTGGATAATCCAATGCAAAATGAATCGAAACATGAGCTAATGAGTTCATATCGAATTCAACAGCTCAACAAAACAATATGTAATGCTCATAACCAGACATGACAAGACAATTACCTCTTCTATCCTTTTCCTCAGTGCATAGAAGCTCTTTTTGCTGAATGCTCTATAAGTACCGCCAAATGTAGCTGAATCAGGGATGATGTCATGAGAAGACCCTGCATGGATCATGGCCACAGAAAGCACCTGCCAAATTAAGATCTCTGTATAAACTTTTGTAGAACATTAAAATCACACAGAGAATCAGTCATACATACTAATCAATGCTCCAAAAGTTTCATCTTTCAGTGTTTTTTATACTACTGAATTTGAGAATTTCACTCCACCTGAGAGTCTAGAGGGTCAGCCTCTCTTGAAACAATGTTTTGCAAGCTAATCACTGATGTTGAAGCAGCCAAAACTGGATCAAAACAATGCTGGGGAACTCCTGCTAAACCCCCTTTCCCATTGATCTTTGCTTTGAAGCTTCCACACCCAGCTAGAAACTCTCCAGGCCTTGATGCAACAACACCTGTTGCATACTCTGGTGCCAAGTGCAACCCAATAATAGCTCCTACATCTTCAAGCACTTGTTCTTGGATCATGTCTTTTGCACCTGTGCCTCTTTCCTCTGCTGGTTGGAATATTAGAACAACAGTGGTCTGCATGTGAAGGACCAAGTTTTCAAAGGAAGAAAGATGCCTGATATATCCTAAGGGTATGTTTAAATAAACTTTTCCAAAAATACTCATCTAAAAGCTAAACTTAGCTTATGCCTAAGTTAATTTGTAAAAGTTCTTTCCTATTCATACATAAGTTAGTTTTAACTTATGGAAAAACTTATTTTGATTTTCTTTCCTATTTTTCTCTCATAAAAATACTTCTGGGGAAACTTATTCAAACATACCCTAAGTTATTTAGGTTCAATTTCCAGTTCCACTTTACCTGTAACATGTCTTTCATTTCTTGCAGTATCTTTGCAGCCCCAAGAAGCATGGCAACATGTGCATCGTGTGCACAAGCATGCATTTTGCCATCTACTTTGCTCTTATGATCCCAGTCCACCAATTCCTGTTTCGCAGGCATATATTTCAATTAACCATCAATTACTTCCCAAATCTGTCCTACGAGATTAGAGTATATGAAAATAATGTTATGTTATGCCCCTATTCTTAGCTTTAGCAACAAATGTAATAAAGTATTGCAATGGGATATAATATACTAATATCAATTAACAAGGGATCGGAATCTTTTCTTATTTTTATCTGAAATGGGCTTTTAGAAATATAAAAAATAATTAAAAACAGATTCGAAGTCTGACCAAAACAAGAGTAGGGGGGGGGGGGGGGGGAGA